ATTTCTTACAGATTCTTCTCTGGAAGAGCATATTAGACAAGTCCATTGTGATCTTAGCAGTTCCCGTTTTGGTTCCCCTGTGCTTGGAACCCCAAAAGATCCAGTGGTGGAAGTGTATTCTTGTTCTTACTGTACAAATTCTCCAATATTTAATAGTGTTCTTAAACTGAATAAGCATATCAAGGAGAACCATAAGAACATTCCTTTGGCACTGAATTACATCCACAATGGAAAAAAATCCAGAGCCATGAGTCCCTTATCTCCTGTAACCATTGAGCAGACTTCTTTAAAGATGATGCAGGCAGTTGGAGGTGCTCCTCCTCGTCCTGCAGGTGAATATATTTGTAATCAGTGTGGTGCTAAGTATACTTCCTTGGATGGTTTTCAGACTCATTTAAAAACACATCTTGACACTGTCCTGCCAAAACTGACCTGCCCTCAGTGCAACAAGGAATTTCCAAATCAGGAGTCTCTGCTGAAGCATGTTACCATTCATTTCATGATCACCTCAACCTACTACATCTGTGAAAGCTGTGACAAGCAGTTTACTTCTGTGGATGACTTGCAGAAACACCTACTGGACATGCATACATTTGTGTTCTTCCGCTGCACCTTGTGCCAAGAGGTTTTTGACTCCAAAGTCTCCATTCAACTACACTTGGCTGTGAAGCACAGCAATGAAAAGAAGGTATACAGATGTACATCTTGCAACTGGGATTTCCGAAATGAGACTGACCTACAGCTTCATGTTAAACACAACCACCTGGAGAACCAAGGCAAAGTACACAAGTGCATCTTCTGTGGCGAGTCCTTTGGTACGGAGGTGGAGCTGCAGTGTCACATTACTACGCACAGCAAGAAGTACAACTGCAAGTTCTGCAGCAAAGCTTTCCATGCTATCATCTTGCTGGAAAAGCACTTAAGGGAAAAACATTGTGTTTTTGAAACAAAAACTCCAAACTGTGGAACGAATGGAGCATCTGAGCAGGTTCAGAAAGAGGAAGTGGAACTCCAGACCTTGTTGACAAACAGCCAGGAGTCCCATAACAGCCACGATGGCAGCGAAGAAGATGTAGACACATCTGAGCCTATGTATGGCTGTGACATTTGTGGAGCAGCTTATACCATGGAGACTCTCCTGCAAAATCACCAGCTTCGAGACCACAACATTCGACCTGGAGAAAGTGCCATAGTGAAGAAAAAGGCTGAACTCATTAAAGGGAATTACAAGTGTAATGTGTGTTCTCGAACATTCTTCTCTGAAAATGGGCTTCGAGAACACATGCAGACGCACTTGGGACCAGTGAAACATTATATGTGCCCAATCTGTGGCGAGCGGTTTCCGTCTCTTCTGACTCTTACTGAACATAAGGTCACACACAGTAAGAGCCTGGACACTGGAAACTGCAGGATTTGCAAGATGCCTCTCCAGAGTGAGGAGGAATTTTTAGAGCATTGCCAAATGCACCCTGACTTGAGGAACTCCTTGACGGGGTTCCGCTGTGTGGTGTGCATGCAGACAGTGACCTCCACGCTGGAACTGAAAATCCACGGCACGTTCCACATGCAGAAAACTGGAAATGGTTCTGCCGTGCAGTCCACGGGGCGCGCACAGCATCTCCAGAAACTGTACAAATGTGCTTCTTGCCTGAAGGAATTCCGCTCAAAACAGGATTTAGTGAAACTTGACATCAACGGTCTGCCATATGGTCTGTGTGCTAGCTGTGTTAATCTCAGTAAAAGTGGTAGTCCAAGTGTCAACATCCCTTCAAGCAGTAACAGACAAGGCATGGGCCAAAATGAGAACTTGAGTTCCATTGAGAACAAAAGCAAGGCAGGGGGACTGAAGACTCGATGTTCTAGTTGCAATGTTAAATTTGAATCAGAAAGTGAACTCCAAAACCATATTCAGTCAATCCACAGAGAGCTTGTTCCAGACAGCAACAGTACACAGCTGAAAACACCACAAGTATCTCCAATGCCTAGAATCAGCCCCTCCCAAACTGAAGAGGTAACCCTTTTTTCTTTGCTCTTGACACCTTCCATCCTTTTGGAAAAAGTCCCCCTTTTTTCAAGCCGTCTTGTCACTTGTCACGAAATGCTTAGGCTGAACCATGTTACATTTCCATCCATAGCCATTAGCTAGTAATTACTTGCTTCTTGATATGCCTTACATCTTGGATTGAATTGTGCGGAATAGGACTAATTCCAGTCTCCCTAGGATATTGTCTTCTGTATCACTGAGGAGACCTATCTTCATGCCAGCACAACTGAGATCTGGAATCTTATCCTAGCTCCCTTACGTGTTGGAATCCCCAGCTAGGAGTTGTGCTTACGGCAGAAAGCATTAATGACAGAGGAGTAGAATACAGTGAGCCAAAAGGCTGGCATAAGGGGTGGATTTTAAAAAAAATATTTGTGATCAACAAGTTGAGGGGGTTTTTTGTAAATTGTGTTGTAGACATTCATTTTCCCCTCTTATAGCATATTTTGATGAAGTAGAAGTGCAACGCTAGCCTAAGGTAAATTGGGAAATCAGTCCCTTGGATGCAATTCCTTGTGTTTTTCTTTCCATTCCTGATGAACGACATTTTGATGTCACTGAAACACCTAGTGCCTGATGATTGAAATCCCATTCGTGCAGCATAACTGAGACAGTAAATACATGTTTCAGGAAAAAAACCAAAGGGTTTTCTCTTGAAAGATCTCATCTACTTCCTCAGTCACCAGTGACCAAGTAATAACACCTGTATTTGGGAAGGTAGGGGGGTCGTGTACTGAGGGAAGGGAATCTGTTTTATCTACAGAAATATTATCAATAGAATGACCTGAAGTTAGTATTTTAGGCATGGTGTCTTGCATAATGACCCCTTATAGTTCAGGAAGCCTAAAAACAAATGATGAGAAATAATAGCTTTTGTTTCAAGAAAGCTTTTAGCCTGTAATGATACAAGCATGGTGCAACCCATTGCTGTGAATGTGTATGGATACCCTGTGGCAAGGGAGCTGCTGCTCTTCCGTCACCTTCCTCACTCCCTGTTTGTGAGCCCACCTGTTGGGTAGGAAATCTCTCAGCATGTCATCCAGCAGTGTTGTGCAAACTGGAGGGCAGGAGGGAGGCAGAGAGGGAGGAGGGGAGATACATAAGGACATGTGGGCCAAGAGCTAAGTATTTGTGGAGCCACCGAGAACATAGCTGGAGATAGGCTGGGAGAAGGCCGCTGAGGCGTCACAGGGCCTGGAGTGCCACGAAGAGGGAAGTGGAGCTGGGAGACGAGGGTGAAGTACCAGGCAGGATGCATCTGCCAGGGAAGGGCCCTATGCATTCATGACTTCTGCATCTCTGGTTTGCACATTGGGCCGTGGTGGGGGACACCTGGGGAACGGGCTGTGGTGTGGAGTTTATGGAAGGAGCAGGTTGTTAGACTGAGAACTGCAGGTCTAAGGAAAACCTTCTTTTCAAAGAAGAGGGAAAAGGAATGGCTCCCATTAGGTGCGGTTCAGGCCACTGATGGTCCTGTAGTACTGCTGCTGAGTGGGAACCACAGAATTACCAGCTGCACGTTTTTGATAGATTCAGAGTCATCCTGGTTTGTTTCTGTCATCTTTCCCCAAGTGACTACTTGAAATTTCTCTTCCCAGTCATGTTGGAAGCCAATTCTTACTACCTCAAGCACAATCAGAATCGTGTGTTAAGACAGTTACCATGATAAGATGTACCAACTTGTCTTTCTCTTGCTTGTAAACTAGACAAAAAGAGATTTGGGGGTCCTTTGTGGTGATATAAGGTCAGTTACCTTCAGTGTCATCAGTGAATCTTCTTGTACTTGGATCATGTATAATCAGAGTTCTTATGTCTTCTTCTCATTGGCATCACGTTCCTCTTCTTGCTCCTTTCGATTTTTGTTTTAGAAATGTATTTAAGATGAAAAAGCCTTTTAAACTACAGCAAGATTTGTGAATAGCATTCACCTGCTTTCAAATCACCATTTGCCCCCCACCCCCATTCAGAGCTTGTAAACTGATTTTTCAGTGTCTATGATTCTAGTCTCCACATAAGTAACCTAGACTTTCAGATTCTTTTCTCACGGGAAGCACAAAGCTATCAGATTCCTGATAGAGCAGTAATATTTCTGGAAACCATAAATGCATGTTTGTAAAATCCTGAAAGATAATTTATTTTTCTAACAGATATTACTGGTTTCAAATTGTAGTGATGCAAGCATTATAGCAATGAGAATCAAAATTGAAAGTGGTAATACACAAATGTTTAACACTATAGATTGGATGTCCAGGCTGAGGGAAATGAAAACATAAGCATATAACATAAACAGTAAAAACAAATTTGATTTCTAAAATTTGTTATTAGTCAGTGGCTTTGCTACTCCACTGGAAGGATATTTGAATTGAATGGGATGTTGAAGACGGCTACTTAAA